ATGTCAAATTCTGTTGTAGCTGTAGTCTGATAATGTGATACATGTCTGCGAACACTTCAGAGCGAACAGTAGTGAAAGTCCGTAGTTGCTAAGATGAGTCGTTTCTCGTGGCGAAGCAGTGTTCGTGGGAGATTATGGCGCTGGCCGTAAAAATAACAGGGGTTATCTTCCTTCTGGGAGGACGTGGGAATTGTTGCTTTCTGCCTGTGATAGATGTCGAACGGTTTTACGAGTCGGAGTGCGGAGTCGACTAGTAATGTACATATTTCATCCAGTCCTTAAATTGTGTTTCTGAAAGTTCTGATCTTCCTTTTGTGCAGACGTCTCAGCGATAATTTAATTTCATTCCTTTGACCTGGCGACTTGAGTAGACACGCCCTTATCAAGGTATTATCTGGGTGATTGCTGCTCAAACAGCTGTATTTAGCTATTAATGCACTGATCTAACTGATTCCCGCAGTTGAACATTTGATTCGAAAGCCCAGGACAATAAATCAATTGATCCGCTGCTCGACACGTCTTCTTCCTTATCCGTGCAGGTACCTGGGACGCGAACCTTTTCATTTATTCGGAAACTGAAGATTATGCTGCCAGATGGTTGCCATTTCTCTCACGTCAGGTTCTCAGGGCTCCCCATTTGTGCTATCTCCCATTTGCAGAACTCTTCTTGCCTCCAACCAGCTGTTTATATAAAGAAAACGAACGGCCTCAAGATCGAATGCGCAGTGTGCGAGATCAATAGGACTGAGGGCAGCTATGATATTTCGTACTCGCAGATGGCATGCGTATTTTGCACAACGCCGTTTACTGTGCTGCCGTACACAGGCCTTCTACACTGGTTTAGTTTATGTATTATTCGGGAATCTCTGTAGGACATCCTGAAGTCGCCATGGTATACAAATACCCCTGCGTATACTTGAGTTTGACGAAACCCGATTCTACTAAGTTGCTACGTGACAGACACGAGAGTACGTAGGGTTAACTCACACAATAGCTTCCAACTGTTCGCGATATTCCAATTCCCCATAACGCTCTGGTTGGCGCAGTGTGAACACGCACCTAGGCGTGCCACCACACTCCCGCTATATGTGCGGCATTTGTTATGAGTCCTCAATAACGCTTACAGTGCCCTAAGTTATCCGTGGTGTGGACTCACCGCATATGCCGCGTGGCACCATAACAACAACCAAAGCATGGACGACGCAGAAAACCACTGCTTTCAATATTTAACAATGAACCATGTATGCGTGTGACAGTACTCCCGCTGCTATCATTGCTCTTTAGTAGGAAGTGGCTCCTCGACGAACCCAGTCAGGACGATAGAACTCCGATCATCTGGGTGCCCTTGACGAACCGAACGCTGATTGCCTCTGGGGTGCCTAATACTGCTTATGAATATTCCGGAAAAAGCACTGTACTTTGATGGGATTAATAAGGGCATTGTCTGTAACCCTTCAAAAAATGTAGTGTGCAATAAAGGAATGACTCTACCTACCAGGTTTATTTTAATGCTGACGTTTTAAAAGTTCTAGTCGTCGGATTAAAAATTCAAAAGTCGATATTGAGCTCGTTGAGCATGTAAGTTTTTAACTGATCTGTTTGCTAATTTTATCGCCTTGAACTTTTCCGCTGAGCGTCTACAGGTATTATCTCTAATCTATACCGAGGAAGCTTTTGGTCCGCTTCCTATCGGCATATCTCCCCTCCCCGTAGAGCCCCTATATATTTTTGTTTTCTGCCTTTCCCCCACTCCAATTACAATTTAGAACATCTTCCAAATCTCGGCACTCAACCTCGCCGAGTGGGCGGTCGTCATGAAACTGTCCCTGCCTGTTCTTCTTTTGGATGAAACCATGAAGGCGTGTTCTCGTTGCTTCATGGATGGTCATCCCGTGAGCAAGGAGGCGCCACTCATCGTCCTGCTGTGGGCCATCTTCATCGGCTGCCTTTACCAATGGCCTCTTTAA